GGACGGGTCTGAGCGGTCAACTTTTTTAGGGATCGGGTGGACCAAAGCTGTCTTCCATGAATTCGGGACTACGCCTTGGGAGTAGGAGTATCGGAAAAGACGCGTTAAAACCGGTGCCAACTCCGGAGCATACGTCTTCAGCACAATGGGAGGGACTCCATCGGGCCCACTCGACTTGCTGACGTCCAGGGAGAAGAGTGCTTTGCGAACCGAGCGTTGTGTAAACCGCACATCCGGCATGGAGCACTCACATCGCGGGATGGTCGGCGGTGTGTTCCCCCCGTCATCTAGAGTCGAGTTGAACGCAAAAAAAGAGCTCAACAGATCGGCTTTCTCCTTTGCGGCATGGGCCAGTGAGTCGTCCTCCCTGTGCAGAGATGGAAGAGATGGCTGACAGAAGTTCCCTTGGATAGCCTTGGCGAGAGACCAGAATGCACGGGTTCCCGAAGGAAGGCGAACTAGTTTCTCGCCAAGTCTGTCGATGTGCTCAGACCTTGCCTTGGCAATGACGCTTTTGAAGGACTTGGAGGCGGAATTATACTTCTTTTTAAGTGCGCTGGTGTTTACATCCCGAGACGTTGATGCATTAGCCCAGGCCCGGTAGCACTCCTGCTTATAGCGTGATGCTATTTTACAGGAGCGACCAAACCATGACTGGGATCTGCCTCCGATGGGCACCACAGAGGATGGAATAAAGAGTTCCATACCCTGAAGTACCACATCAGCAACAGAATCTGCAACAACGCTGGGATCTTCCGGCGAGAAGCAAACCCGCCCCCATGGGTACGATGCAAAAAAAGACCGCATCCCGTCCCAATCAGCTGACCTATAGTGCCAAACACGGCGGCAAGCTGCAGATCGCAACTGCGATTGGAACGTGAGTGGCACCGTACTCCGGATCAGACAATGGTCCGAAGAGCCCAGAGGGGCATCGACGGAGACCTGATATCCGTCCGGATGAGAGGTCAGCAGAAGGTCCAACAGGGAATGTACATGGTCTTCCACATCTGGGATCCGCGTAGGCGAAGTAACCAGTTGTGTTAGACCATATGCCAAAGCAAAGTCATAGACAGATCTACCCGCATGATCGGTTAAACGAGAACAAGCCATTCAGCGTGGTGGGCGTTAAAATCACCGAGTATCACGATCTCTGCGGATGGGACCTGTTGTAGCACGGAGTCTGCAGCCATTTGGACGTGGTCGATGAGTCGGTCTGTGTCGGCATTACCGCTATGGGACCTATAGAGGCACTCGTAGACGCGGGGATGGTCGTCGCTGTCTACGCGCAGCCATAGGATGGACAGGTCCGTACCTTCAAGACTGCCGAGGCGTCGAAAACAGATGTCCTCTCTGACGTATAAGCAAACTCCAGCCCGGGGCACAAAGGAGTGTTCCAATTTGTACCCCGGGTAGGAGAGATATGAAGTATCAGCCGGAGAGGACACCTGAGTCTCGGTTAAAAAGAGCAAGGCCGGCTTCGCCGTCTCTAGATGGTAATGGACAGCGTTAAGGTTGGAATGAAGTCCCCTGATGTTGCAAAAATTCAAGGATAGCGGGACAGGGGTCGCCTTGGTTGTATTGCTCTGCTTGCCCCGAGCAGCATTAGTCGCGAGCGGAATTTTGCCCCCCCCCCCCCTAGAATACGCGGGGCAGCCTGACCACCCACGCTCAGGAGTGAAGTAGTTTGGTCGTGGATGCTCAGCGAGGGATTCTCCAGGGGTGCTGATACCCTGCTGGGGTAGTCTTTTATTTAATTCCACTACCATGTTGATGGGGGGGCGGAATTGGGCCTCCGGCCACCTGCACTCACCAAGCGCAACGCAGAGGTAAACCTCTACTTCACGCTGGTATTCTGTCAGGTCGTGGTACCACCCCGGTTCGAGCTGGCCCATCCGTGCGAAGGCAAAAGCTACCGCTTAACTCTACCACTGTTAAAAAATATCATAGGATTATCCGAGGTCTGAAGAGAGGGGGAGGACACGGTGATCCTCGAATCCGGCAACTTGTTCTATCACCGGGACGGCGACCATCTGTCCCAAGGAGGTGTCGGATTTATCGTCCACAAGTCTCTCGTTAACAACGTTGTAAAGATTGAGAGTGTGTCGACGAAAGTTGCTTACCTTATACTCGGAATCACCAAACGGTATTCGCTGAAGGTCATACAGGTTTACGCACCAACCTCGGCACATCCCGATGAGGAGGTGGAGAAAATGTATGAGAATATCTCTAGAGCCATGCATTACTCCAAAACCCACTATACGGTGTTAATGGGAGACTTCAAGGCAAAACTAGGCACAAGAGAGAACGGTGAGCTTAAAGTAGCGAAATTCGGAATAGGGCAACGGAAACCAAGGGGCCAGCAGCTGGCCGACTTCATGGAGAAAGAGGGGCCCTTTATGATGAACTCTTTCTTCCAGAAGCGGCCCTACAGTAAGTGGACCAGGTCGAGCCCCGACGGTTCGACAAAACATGAGATTGACTTCATTATGATAGACGACAACTGTTCAGTGATGTCTCACTGATTGCGAGGGTGAAAATCGGCAGCGATCAGCGAATGCTGAGAGGCACACTGAACCTAAACGTCAAGTTGGAGAGGTCACGTCTAATGAAGTCAACGCTCTGTACCCCTCGTGTTCTAATCCAAAGTCCCGAAACCTTTCAGCTCGAGCTATGAAACCGTTTTCAGTGTCTAGAAGATTGCAATGCAGTGGACGATATGAATGAAAAGCTCGTGGAAACTGTCCATGCGGTCGGAGCTAAGTTTTGCAAGACCCGCCGCAGAAGAACACAAAAACTCTCCCTTCACACTCTTAATCTCATAGCTTTTAGACGGGATATAAAGCTTCAGTCTGAACAGACAGATCTCAAAAATGCATGCAGCGGGCCTTACACGACTTTAATACTGTTCTCATTGAAGAACCGATCGAGCGGAACCATAGCTCCAAAATCTTTGCTAGAGATCTGTCTGCCAGAAAGAGCCAAATGTCGACGCTGAAGACCGAGTATAGCAGCGTCGTTTCCGGGACACCTGAGATTTTGAGTGATATTGAGAGGTTCTATGGGGAGCTGTACACATCATCGTGGGAGCCACACGCAAGTGTGAGTAACGATCCAAGAGCGAGTCTTATCCGACACTATTCCGATGATATCCCGGACGTCAGTCTGAGCGAAATTAGAAAATAGAACACTCCAGCACGTTATAAACAAAAAGGCCCCAGGCGCGGATGGAATTACAGGGGAGCTTCTGAAAGCGCATACATACCCTTCGGCAAATTGTACAGAAGTCCGAGGAGTACAATTTGCCACTATGTCTGGCGTATGTGGACTATTTCTCATAGTTTACATACGCCTTTGATTCCCTCGAAATTCGGGCGGTACTGCAGTCCCTTCAGCGGTGTCAAGTTGACTGTCGGTATGTCGAAGTGCTGAAGTGCTGTACAGTAGGGCTATGATGGCTACCCGAGTACAGAACCAGAGTACGAAACCTATCCAATTGCAGAGAGGTGTAAGACAAGGTGACGTTATATCCCCGAAAATCTTCACCGCTGCATTGGAAGACGTTTTCAAGCTTTTGGACTGGAAAGGATACGGTATTAACATCAATGGCGAGTACATCACTCACCCTTGATTTGCCGACGATATAGTACTTATGGCAGAATCGCTGGAGGACCTAAACACTATTGACGTCAATAGTGTTTCCCATCGGATAGGTCTTAAGATGAACATGGACAAAACAAAGATCATGTTAAATGTCCATATCACAACTATGCCGGTAGTTGTTGAGGGCTATGCTCGGAGTTTCTCTGCGTGATAAACTTAGAAATGAGGATATCCGCAGTAGAACCAGAGTAACCGACATAGCCCAACGGATTAGTAAGCTGAAGTGACAATGGGCTGGCCATATAGCTCGAAGAACCGACAACCGATGGGGAAAAAGTTCTCAAATGGCGGCCTCGTACCGGCAGGCGAAGTGTAGGGCATCCCCCCATTAGATGGAGTGACAACCTGATAAGATATGCAGGAAGTCGATGGATGCAAGTTTTTTTTATAGGATAAGGGTGACAAACGAGCACACAGTCCACCTGATGGTAAGTGATTGCTGCGGCCCATAGACATCTACATTTATCCTCGTTTGCGAATCAAACTGCAGATGCGTTGTCACCCGTGAGGACTAAGATGGAATGCCTCATTTCCAGTAAAAAGGGCCTCCGGCCACCTGCACTCACCAAGCGAAACACAGCGGTAAACCTCTACTTCACGCTGGTATTCTGTGAGGTCGTGCTACCACCCCGGTTCGATCCGGCCCATCCGTGCGACAGCAAAAGCTGCCGCGTGGCTCTACCACTGTTAAAGTGTCTCAGGACCGCGGTTTGTGGCAATCCATGGGGGAAGCCTATGTTCAGCAGTGGACTTGTGATAAGCTGTAATGATGATGATGATGATGATGAAACTATCGATACAAAGTATATGTATTTGATACTGTGTCAAAGAACTGATATGATCGAAGTCCAAAGTTCAGATAAAAGATGTGAAGAATTATCATGGGCCAAACCCACCCGCACTTCCAATCATACTTATAAAAATGTACAACGTTTTTGTCCTTTTGTCCATTATATTTGAGTTGGCTCCTTTCGCTGTATTTACAAAAGAAGAATAAATGCTATCTTTGAAATAAAATTAGCTCTGAATTTAAACTTTATTTAAATAAAAGATATTAGATAAAGTGACAATTTAATCAATAAACAACATAAACTAATTAAAGTGCATGACAATATAAAACAATATATATATATTATCAGCTTCGTTTCATATTACATATATTAAACATACGTATGTTTGCCTCTGTTGCCAAATCTATGATAATAACATGTTTGTTTTAATCTATGCAACGTATACACTTTTTATCTTTCTTGTTAATAAAGCTATTTCCTTACAAATATTAACAGAGCGCTGTCCAAAATTGTCCAAGAAAATGAAATATACGGTATCTATGAAATATCTTAAATTATATAAGACTTTTGAATTTCTATGCGTTGCCTTTTAATTTTTGTTATCCAAAGTCTCTAAAAAAAGAAACAAAGCATAAATTAATAAACTCCGTACCTATTTCCAAAAGTGAAAATACATTAGCTTAATATTAGCTTATGATACATATAAGTATGTCCGAGTACGTACCACCTCTCACCTATTTGTGCCGCCAAATAGCAGTGCTTGCACAGCTGTGATCTGGTTTGAAAATTTTCAATTTAAACCATTTACTTGTTTTATATGAGAGGCGGCAAACGAGCATGCGGTTCACCTGATGGTAAGTGACTACCGCTACCCATTAACAACTGCAACACCAGGGGAATTCAAATGCGTCGCCGGTCTTTTAAAAAGGAGTAGACTCTTTTCTTGAAGTTCCCTAAGTCGTATCTGTCCGGAAAAATCGCTGGTGGTAATCTACAAAAAACTTCTTCTAAATCGCACAGCGGTGGACCGCCAATCATCCAGATGGTATGGATGGTTTCGCGAGTTTTGTCGCGATGTGCGATGATGAAATTGAGCGGCTGGAATTAGTCCGAATAATTCCTCAGAGCACTCTCTGTGGTACATGCGATAAAATACGCAAAGCGTTGCAACATTTTTACGCACTGCCAGTGAGTCAAGCCGGTCGGACAGAAATCGGTCGTGGACGATGCGCACCACTCTGTGCTGGATGCGGCCAAGTGGAAGGAGCTGGCACTGGGGAGCCCCTGCCCAGAGATTGGAACAGTATTCCATGTGGGGCCGAACCTGTGCCTTGTAAAATTGCAAGCGGTGCGCCGGCATGAAATACTGTCCCGCTCTGCTGAGCACGCCAAACTTTTTAGAGGCCAGTTTCATGTATTTCCTTTGTAACTACGTAACGTAACTAACTAACTAACTAACTAACTAACGTAACATAGGCGACATAATTCCATTTCACGTAAAATGACACAGGTTCTATATATCAATCCATCCATCATTTTATCTCATTTAATCTATGATTTAAGATTTGAGGAATAAGTTCGCATATTCCCCTAATTTTATATTTATTTTTATTAAAATTTAATCGTTACCAAAATAATTTACTATTATAAGAGTGAGGAATGATGAGCTATTTCTAGTAATTCATACCTTCTAGCGCATTTATCAAAAGGCCTTTGTTCAGCAGTTCACTTAAAAAGGTTGGAAAATAAATTAAAATGGGAAAGGTAACAAATGGTGGATAATAAAAATACATTTATGTCAGGTCGCGAGATCTCAAAATGTGAGCTTATGTCACGTGTTTAGTGTTTCGTATTTAGCTGCAACTAAGGTTTGAATCCGACAAACACCACATATAATATAGGTAGAAACAAGAATTTATAACAATTTATAACTAAATGAAAATTCTTAGTAAAAGTATTAAGGTAAATCAAAAAATAATCTGTCTTGAAAAGTTAAATACGAAAAAGTAACTCTATTTATTACCTTGAGAGATTCCCGAAATTTAGTAGACATCAAACTGAACAGTATAGGATTGAGGACGATGCTGAACCAATTATGAAAAACGATAATTCTCTGGCCAATATTCCACCACTGAAAGATATTTTTATTCGTTTATATTAAACATTTTAAACCACCGACCTCGTGAGAATCATTTTTCATTTATTTAATCTTTATACTTAATTAGCCCCTAGAACTCTATAGCTGAACATCATGTTCAGCCTCTCCCGCTAACAGAAAATTTACCTTAATCGTCAAGCTTGGCAAACGAATCGACGATTTTAGTATCAGAATCCCGGCATTTTAAGACTGCTCTTCTTGTTGCTTCTTCGGTATGTTTATGTTCCGTCTGGTCGGAACGAGATGATTCTACTGCCATATGTCGGAAGCTATATGACAGCGAATAGCACTCAGGGGACGAAAATACAATATTAAATTGTGCGATGTGGTGGCGCCCATAGCGCGAACACACCGCATAATTAAATATTTATTAACTTATACTAAATAATACAAAGGGCAGAGTTAATACTTAATAGCGTTCTCTATTGGTCAAAAATAGTGATTCTTACCATTCCAAACCGTAAGGAATGTAAGAATTGAGTAATTTCTCATTCCTATATTCAGCAATGGTTTCGCAAAGGTCCCTTTTAAATTATACGAAGTGCACGTAAAAATTGTTTATAACAAAAAAATAAAACCTTTTTAATGCGTTCGAAATTTAAATTAACAAACCAACATAATATGTATTTCAGCACCTGTTAAGTCGTTTAGCACTATCACGAATACATGTAACTTTGAATGCTTAAAAACATCAGGATGGTGTTTTATTTATTTACTAGCAGTGCCCGCGACTTCTTTCGCGTGGAATTAGTACTTTTCATATGATAATTGATGATGATTCATTTGTAATTTTAATATCACGAGATGTAAGAAGATAAATGAAAAGGAAAGACACTAATCTGGATAGAAACATTCAGTTAGTCAGTCAATCCGACAAACTAATGAACGAACACATTGGCGGGCCCAAAAACAAACTAATGGACAGACCCGCAATCGAACTTAGAAACGAATCTGGTATATACGCTTATATAAGTATAATACGCTTGTATTTCATAATATTGTAAATAAACAACAAAATGAACGCAATAACGTAATCCATAACTTGCTATCGAATTTCTCTGGCCAACACTCGGTTTCTATACAACAGATAAGAGTTTGCCCGAAATAAGCAAGCTCTAACTCCTTATTAGTTTGGGGCAAGCTTTAACATCAATTATCTGTACTATGGTATGAGGCGCCATAATGCCATTAATATCTGCTGCCGTGCCTCCGCCAAGTCGAGCAAAAAAGCGGCACGGACGTACCATCCTTTTCTCGAAGCATTTCAGGCCATTTTCGAAACCCTATAACTTCGTTGTGAATAAAACTAGAAGCCTGAATTTTGAGTAACCAAGTAGGAATTTTATAAATTCAGTATATTTCAAATTTCATTAAATTTGAACAAGTAGTTTAAGAATTATAACTAGTCAAAGTTTCTTAATTTTGTCACTCACTGACTGACCGATCATCAAAACTCTAAGGCACTTCGAGCAGATATAGAAGCTTCAAATTTGGAATACAATTATTGTTTATTATATAAATCAAGAAACAATTAAAATATTTTGCAATTTCAGTCCAGTTTTCGAGATACACTAACTGCATAAATAACTTTGTAATCCCATATAAATATATAGGAGTACAAAGTTACATTTGCAGTGAATGAATCAGTGTACCTATATTATGTATATTATAATGAAATAATAGGTGTAGATAGGTCTATAACTATCTACAAAAAGAAATGAGATGACATCAAAAACATAACTTGTATAAAAAAACCAAGTTTCGCAACTCACTTCTTCTACCGTTATTCTAAGTTCTACCGTAAAATGTTGTGAGATCCATGTAATACCAAGTCGATTATTTTATTCGGTCCCTACTTAAGGGTCCTTCTGTTTTAAGTTGTTACGTAATTAGGTAACCTAACAATATCTTATAGTGACCATATCAATATTAAAAATCTTTTATGTTTTAAATAAATAAATTGACTTGACAGTCGCACTAAACAATCTAATTTAATTTAATACGTATTACTTGAGAGATACATTGTGTTTTCATGCGATGTCATTTAAGTAAAGTGTACTCCCTTGGATTCATGTACCTATTATAGAATATTCGTACATAATATCTCAATGTCCTGCATAAATGGCTAGTCTCCGTGGATACTGGCCGCCAAGACTGTGTTATTCAGCCTAAAGGGTTTGATGCGTATTTTGTAAACAGTAAGAATATAAAAAATTTAAATGTATTCCGCGCCCAAACACAACATTTAAATACTCAATAGCAGAAATACTTAAAATATAAATATAATGCATTGAAAAACTTAAAAAATTATATTGAAAACCTTTTAATATAACCTACAGTGGTGACAAAACCTTCTTTTAATTCAGCGCTAACGCCATCTAGTTGCAAATTTCAATAATACTAATGATAAATAGTCAACTTTACTGTTTTGTATAACAATTTTCCACCTCATATGGGGTAAAGTCAATCAAGTTTTAAAATATGTATTATTCATAAATATCATAATTTCGTTTTACGAATTTCCCCACCACCATACAATTAAAAACCATTTCACGCAAACTTTGCACTCTCGCCTTATCACTTTAATCCAAAAGTATGAGTATGTTTTTTTTAATGTTGCAAAAATCATTCAATAATTTTTCTCCGTACAAATTTAAAATCGCCCCGTCAAAAAGTTTCTTTAAAGCTGGAACACCATATTTCATCCTCTAAGGGCTTAAATTTTCCAAAATCCTTTCTTAGTGTATGCCTAGGAAGTTAAGGAAATTGTCCTATTTTCACGCTTCTACGTCCAGCGGATTTGACTGCGCGTCTAAATACAATATTTTTAACACAAAATTTGCACCCTTGCTTTAAACCCGTAAGGATAAATTATATTGTTTTAAAGAATTAAAGATACTTTCTCCATTTCAATTTATCATAATTTGCTTATAATAAAACCATACCTTGCTTTAAAATACCTTTATCGCCATCTAAATAAAATTAACGTAATGAGTTGATTATTACAATAAAATGAAATCTACGATATTTAGTAATTTTTCAATCTCACAACAATGTAAATTATAAACCTTTTTGTAGCTGCAAAAGAGAGATAATATATGCCTACTACCCAGCTCTTTTGATAGAAAGCGTGATGATTTATAATTATTCCAACGGTTCGATCTCTATGTAATACGATAGTGAAAGTCCCATCCAAATCGGTTCACAAGTTTTGCGTGATGCGTGTTCAGACAGACAGACAATGTTTTCCAAAAAAAGATTGTCAGAAGTGTATAGATACAGTCACGGCCTTTGTTATAATCATAGACTATCACTTATATTACTTAAATTATGTATTGATTATCTGCCTACCTGTCTCTTTTTATTATCATTTAATGAAAATAAGAATAAGAGAGCAACTTTAAGCATTTGGTATATCATATTGACGGCGATATTTATGAGTAAGGCCGTTACATTTTTAATCACACGCGTTTACCACTTTTTATGTAATTTAAGTTACTTAAACAATTAAAAAGACATAATTGTAGATTTTCATATTTTGAAATGTCAAATATATCGGTATCTTTGTCGCTTTGTCTCACGACGGCAAATTAATAATGTCCTTCAGACTGAAATTCAGTTACGGCGGCCAGTCTCAACGGAGACTAACTATCTCTCAACTATCTGCACAGAATAAGAATACAGTTCTCATGTGAATGCGTAAACACAGGTGTACTCTATTCCCTCATTCTCATAGTTTGATGGGACGGTTATCTAACCCGAACGTAAAGAGATCCTACACAGGACCTATGGCTCTACGTTATTTTCGAGGGACAGGGGTGATACGCAGCCATCTTCCTAACTCTGGGCTGCTATTGAGAACTTCTTGACAATAAACCCCAAAAACTAATTTTGACCTGACCAGGGCTTCGAACCCGAGACTTCATGATCAGCAACCGCGTGTACGAGCACTAGACCAACGAAGCAAGTATTCAAGTTAAGGGTTTTTTAATGGGCCCGTTGTTGTACGAACAATTCTCTTACTTACACAACGAGTATCATACCGAGCACCTACATAATACAAAGCGGGATAACCATATTTTTGATACAAAAAAAAAACGAGCAAATATTCATATATAACGAGCAATAAAAATTCTTACCTTTGATAGCTGCATCAATTGGCGCATGTCGTACAGAAATATTAATACGCGAAATGTGCAGAATGGCAACCAGCACACCAAGAAAGACAGCGTCAGTGCTACTGAGAACCAAACAAATTGTAAAAAATAACAAATTGGAATTAAAATCTTATATTAGATGGTACTAGATGGAGTGACGACCTGGTAAGACATGCAGGAAGTCGATGTATGCAGGTGCCTTAGGACCGTGCTTTGTAGGATTCCTTGGGGGAGGCCTATGTTCAGCAGTAGACTTGTGAACGGCTGTAACGATGATGATCATGATTACATGGGAAGAAAGGGTCTTGAGTGACAGCCTCGTATCGGCAAGTGAAGAGTGGGGCAACTCTCATTGGAGGGAGTGACTACCTGGTTAGATTGCACGTGGCTCAGAAACATTATTTGTGTCATTTAGTTTAAAGTTACGAGTAATTGGAACAATAGCTTACTTTTATTACGTAGGTACCCACTAAGTAAGGATTTGGGAAAATTCAAACCCTTATTAGGTGTACTAAGGTATTACAGTTTGCACGACATATTTTATTTTACAGGACGATTTTGTATTTGTTATTAAATTATAAAATTGCTACAAATACTTTTTGGATTAGATACAAATTGCCCTGATACGGAAGTAGGCGGCTAAGTGCAAAAAAAATAATTAAATCACATACATCCTAAAAAAGCAGTTACGGCTTTTTAGTGTATGATGAACCTTTGAATTATATTTGATATAATATTTAAACAGCCGCAAACTGAATGTACTACGCTTAAAAGCGTTTGAGTTTAAGTTTAGTAATCGATGTGCGCCTAAAGAAATTTGATCGGCAAGTATGATCAGAGCTCTTGTCAGAGTGCGTCAGAGGTATATTCCTTGGTTTGGATTTTCATTTTGAAAACTACTTTACTGTGCGAAAGAAACGTCTTTTCCAATAAATAGGAACTTTAGACAGACTCAAATTTCCTTCAACGTATTGCCGCTTGCGGACAAAAATTGCGATTGCGAGTTCCTTTAAATTTAATAAAATTTAAAAGAACTAAAACAGATATGTTGCATGCCTTAAGCGCAAAACGCGTCGGTATGTTCTACTAGCGCCTAAAATCAAGATTCCAACGTTTTGTCGAATAAAATCGTATCTAACTATCATATTGAACATATAATGTTATAAAAACCACATTGTCAGAAAGATAAATTATTGTTGAACTTATTAATATTTTTTTAAAACAGATTGTTATGTTTACATAAAAAAGTGGTTTAAGTGGCTTATGGTGTAGATTTATCAAGTCAGTATGGAGTGGTAAACACGATAACTTTTGAAAATATCAATTGTTTAACTCAATCTATTTTTTAATATCTTCATCTATCATGTATGAAGCCATGGAATGTAAATGGCAGTTTTATTTTGAAAAAGGAACAAAAATCTTCTGGAAAATTTCCGTATGTGATACTCAGTTAAGTCAACAATATTTCAAAATCATTTCTATTGATTTTTTACTAAAATAATCATAATCATTACAGAAGCTAATAAGTTCATACTTCACTATGCTCAGGTTTCATAGTAAGTTAAACAACTTCAATGAATCGAAAGCATGAATTTTAGTTATGATACATACAACATACGTTTGTATGTTGTATGTAGGCGTGATTGTTCTCACGCCTCTCACCCAGAAGGGTAGTCAGAGACTACGGATTTCCATTTGGCGCGATCCTGACACACCTCTCTCGCCTCCTTTACATCCATATATTTACGCATACACGCTCGTCGGTTAAGGGTACTCCTAATCTCACCCATTTTCAATGTATCGCCGATTTGGTCGATAAATCTTCGTCTAGGGCGTCCCTTCCCGACTTTGCCGTTCACTTCTGAAACATAAATTGCTTTGTCACTCTTTCCTCGTTCATTCTTTCTACGTGACCAAACCACCGAAGCATTCCTTTTTTAATCCTAGTCACAACGTCATCTTGCAAACCACACGTTTCTCTTATCACACTATTTCTCACCCTGTAATTCAGATTCAGCCTTAGCATAGTCTGTAATGACCGCATTTCTACAGCCTTTATTCTACTCTCATGCTTCTTCTGCCATACACAACTTTCACTACCATACATTAAAGTAGGGACTAACACAACATTATGAATTGCCATATGTGCCTTCTTTGACACATTCTGACTCTTCATAATAGCGTGTAGAGTCCCATTAACTCTATTGTCTGCGTTCACTCGTCGTTCTATATCCTTATCATATCTACCATCCCTGCTAAATAAACATCCCAAATATACAAACTCATCCACTTGCTCAATCAACTCCCCTTCTATTCTTATTTCACATTACGTGTTACTTTCTTCTCTTTCAAAAACCATCACTTTCGTCTTACTTGCGTTCACATTCATACCCCTTTCTTTTAAAGACCAGTTCATTAAAATAACCATCATTTGCAACTCGGCCGCCGACGATGCAAATATGACTTGATCATCGGCGTACAAAAGGCATTTGACGGGTAACTCACCCATTCTCAACCCACATTCTTCGACTTTAAACGTTTGCAAACAACTGTCCATAAATAGGTTAAGCAGCCGCGGAGAAGCTACACAGCCCTGTCTGACACCTTTTTGAATGCCAAACCAGTCCGAGTAGGTCCCGTTGATCCTGACACAAGCACTAGAGTCCCTATAAAGAGAATTTAATGCCTGTATCAGACCAGCGCTCAATCCAAATGAGGTCAGTGTTTGCCATAACACGTTCCTCTATACTCTGTCATAAGCATTTTCCAAGTCCATGAACGCACAAAAAACTTTCTGGTTTTTGGCCAAAAATTTCTCTGCAATCATGCGCATGGAAAAGACTTGATCCGTACACCCCATCCCCTTTCTAAATCTAATTCTAATTTCTTCCATAATACCACGGTAGTTTTTACAGTCCTGCTGTGACCCCTTTCCCTTATATATTGGGACTATAACGGCTCTGCACCAGTCTTCCGGTACCCGCTTCAGTTCCCAACATCAATTAAACAAGGTGTACAGCAGGCCTGCAACCACACCCTCTCCAGCCCTTAGCATTTCGAGTGATAGATACTCTATCATATCCGACTGCCATAACTGCCTTCATGCTTTTCATTGCTTTCATTATTTCATCAGCACTTATCTCCCTACCTCTCTCCACTTCTTCCGGAATTCCTATTTCACTTACTTCAGACGACTCTTCACTCTTAAACACGCTTTCAAAGTATTCCTTCCATCTCTTTAAATTCGAAACTTCATCATTCAGCATGCAGCCATTCTCGTCTCGTATAACATTCATTCTAGGCTGTTTTGAATTTCTCCTGGCAGTTCTTACGAGCTTCCAGAACATTGTATTTGCCTGGAAGTTATCAGATATTCTTCTATTATTCTTATCTATCCTTTCTTGCTTTTTCCTTTCAACAATTTCTTTTACTCTCTTATTTATACGTCTCAAGTCTGCCTTTTTTCTTTCAATCTCATCATTCATACCGCCAGAATTACCAGCTTTAGTTGGTAGTAAATCTAGCCATGCTCTCTTCTTTGCCTCAACTTATATCCGTACCTCATCATCCCACTATAACGTATTACTTTTCCTTTCATTCGTTCTCTTACTTACACCACATGCTTCGGTGGGTGTATCAACCAAAACTTTCTTAACTTTATTCTATACATTCTTCAAGTCTAAATCATTAATACATAATTCATTCAACACACTTATATTTTTCCTCAGTCTGCATTTATACTTCTGTTTGACACCTTCATCTTGTAACCTCTCTATTCTTATACGCTGTAACGCAGTGGTAGACACAGATGTCCAATGCCGCCAACGCATAAATAGACCATTAATTCAGACCAAGAAATGATCCATCCCTACGTTGGACCCATGGTAAACCCTTGTATCTACCACTGCGCTCCTCATTCTTTCATCCACAATTATGAAATCTATCATGCTTCTATTATCCCCTCTTTCCCAAGTATACATGTGAATCCTCTTATGGCGAAAGTAAGTGTTCGCCACAAAAATATTATTTTCCACACATATGGTGAGGAGGTCTTCACCATTCTCATTTATTCTTTCATCGCCAAACGCTTCTAATATCCTGTCATAATCAGACCTCTTCACCCCAACCCTTCCATTAAAATCTCCTAACATAGTAATATTTTAATTTTCCTTACATTTCGTCAACACCAGCCTTACCATGTCCCAAAACTGCTCTCGGATATAAGTGGGCTTAGACATATCTGGGGCGTACACCCCAAGCACGAACAACTTCTTTAAGCCCACATTATTTCGTATCCACAGCAGCCTTGGGCTTACACGTTCATACTCTTTCACACATTGACCCATTATTTCTGAAAGGATGACACCGACTCCCTGGCATGCCCACTCGGTCTCGTCTACACCAGACCAGTAAGCGGTATACATGCCATGTGTAGTGACATCTCTTCCCTTTCGTTTCGTCTCATTCACACATAAAACATCTATTCCTCTGTCATTCATCATTTCGCATATTTTATCCATCTTATCATTCATTGCTTCACATACATTCAGCGTAGCCAGACGGGCCTCCGCAATCCACTTTTCGCCCCTCCGGGAGACAGGACGTGACGGGTGGCGTACCTCGTCACCGGTTTTACTACCGGAGATTCTTCGCACCCCTGCCCCATTAAAGGGCGCCGGGAACTCGGGGCCATTTCTTTTAATTGTTGGCTCATGGTGCGACATAAGGGGTGGTAGATTTATAATAGATTAGATTAGATTTATATTAGATTATGAATCTTTATAAATAGATGATCTTTTTAAATTCCTTTCCTTATAATTAAACATCAATAACCATTTAATTGTAATTCACTCCTCGAATCTATATGTTTAATTTAAAGATATCATAATAGATTTTTAATTTTCAAATAAATGCCCTGCAGACATATACTTACTAATAAGTTTGTTGACTTTTTTTCTGTTATCTCGATGATTAAATATTTTACTACTGGAATTATCCTTTTCAGCAAAGTTTACTTTCAAAGCAATCATTATATAAACAAACGTCATGATTGCTAGTGGGATGGCGAATGTTACCACCGCTAGCACGCCATTAGTTATCCTTGCAGTTGTAGTAGGTAATATAAAACATATTGAAAACTTCGTCGTCTTTACTAAGTCCGCCGTCAACACGTCTGGTATAGTCTCGATTACTGCTACTACGCATACACCCATTATCACTTTCATTACTCGTCGCCACACAGGGGTTGATTTTAGTAACATTGGATAACATATGGCTACGTACCTTTCTATAGCCAAGGTAGTCATTATCAGTATGCTGTTGTTCCACAGTAGAATAACAAAGAAAAAATGTATTTTGCACGCCACATTACCAAAACCGTAAGATTCACTCAATTGCTCGTATACTTCCAACATCATAGCAAATGACACTATTAAGTCAGAGACAGCCAGATCAAATAGATAATAATTTGTTGCAGTATGCATTGTTTTATCGTAATAAATGACAATGCAAGTCAAAATATTTCCAACTAAACCCCCTACAAACATAACAACAATAAATATAATAATGAGTGTTATGTTCCAAGGTGATTCTTCTGCTTTCATTTTCACTAGAAATTGCGACCATTGTTCTAAATTAAAATCACTCTTATATTCGGTAAAATTAGACATAACTAAAGTTTGTTTTTTAAGTATTTTTTCTAAAACTAAAATTTAGATAACACGCACAAGATTTGAATATGGTAAGTGGTTTTCTTTGTGAAGCTAATACTGCTATGAAACAAAGAGTATTAGAACGGTGTATACATACTCGCTACCAAATAGCTCGTCGTTTATCGTGTTTGTTGAGTTTGGTTTACATTGTGGTAAAGTCGATTAAGCTCCCTAAAAGCAGATTAAATGCCAAGCAGTATTACAATCAAAGCCTAATATATATATATATATATATATATATATATATTAGGCTTTGTAATATTATCTCCATTAAAACAATATGTTTCTAACATTGCTTACTCTTTTAAAACTTATAAATAAAAACCAGAAACCTAAACCGTCTGCACACCCAAGCCAAGTTTTATATAATTGTATCGTATTCTATATTGTATGCATATTGTATCAATTTAAAAATTTGACAGATACCTTTTATTAGCAACAGCTAGTTATAATAGTTCTTCAAAAAATATCTACTTACATATAAAATATAAACAGAACAGAACATTTATTTGATTGTGTTTTTATTTAAGAGATAAAGTTGTTATATAGTTTATATAGGTGTTCTGGATAATTTTATTAAGCCCTGCGACTTGTTAGTAGTTTGTGGTTCCATAAATTACAGCCTATTAAGTCCACTGCTGACCATAGGCCTCTTCCATATTGGTACTGCCTCATAAAGAGACAGTATATGAGATAGTTGCCAAGCTTGGTAGGCGGATTGACAACCGTAGTTTTTTATTATTTTAGTTTTATTTTATAGGATAGGGTGACAAACGAGCACACAGTCTACCTGATAGTAAGTGGTTTCTGTGACCCATAGACATCTACATCTATCCTCAATAAAGAATCAAAATGTAGATGCGTTGTTACCCGTGAGGACTAAGATGGAATGCCTCTTTTCCAGTAAAAAAAGGGTCTCCGGTACTCTACACTCACTATACGAAACACAGCAGCATTAAGCTGCTATTATACGCTGGTATTCTGCGAGAGCGTGGTCGTTCCCCGGTCGAGCCTACACATTCGTGCTACAACTATACTACTAATTAAGCTGCTGCATGGCTCTACCACGTACTGCTGTCATCAAGAAGACGCTGCTGCCCATCATCTGATTAAGTTTCCCTCTGTCGCCTCTTACGACACTCATGGGATGATAAGGAGTAGTGGATACTCTTACACCGCCATTACACGGGATTAGTGATAACGGGAATTTGTGGGTATGGGGAAACAATACGTATTTATGTACTGTTAAGGACATACTTAACACAAAAGATTTGTAGTAGAACGTTTTATCCTAAAATCGAGACTCTGGTCGAAGAAACTTACTTACATTTTAAAAGCTTTTATTTAACTTTCAATTTTTGTATACAGCATATTCTAAGTTTATGGTTTGTATGTTTGTTAGAGTCAAATCTTGTAACTGAATTTTAAATCAATTATTCTCAACCAATTGAGCTGAAATTTTGCATACATGTTTATTTTGGTTTTGTAAGTGACGTCATTCTAAATTCAATATCGGGGACGAAGTACTTACTTACCTTAGTTATTTTCTATGCACTCCCATGATATGGATATCAAATGAATGGGTTGCTGAGAAGAATATGAAAATTCTTTTTAGAGAATTTAAATAAGAGCTTGTTTTTAAAAATGTTTTTTACTATCAATTTATTTTTCGAAATCAATCAAGACCAATTAATATACTGTGACGCATTCATCATTCATCATCATTACAGCCTTTCATAAGTCCACTGCTGAACATAGGCCTCCCCCAAGGAATGCCACAAATCACGGTTCTGAGCCACCTGCATCCATCGACTTCCTGCATGTCTTACCAGGTCGTCACTCCATCTCGTGAGAGGTCACCCTACACTTCGCCTACCGGTACGAAGATGCCACTCAAGAACCTTTCTTCCCCATCGGTTGTCGCTTCGTCGAGCTATATGGCCGGCCCACTTCCACTTCAGCTTACTAATCCGTTGTGCTATGTCGTTTACTCTGGTTCTACTGCGGATATTTTTTTTTATAGAAGAGGGGGCAAACGAGCATGCGGCTCACCTAATGGTAAGTGACTACCGTCGCCCATGAACAACCGCAACTCCAGGGGAATTGCAGATGCGTTGCCGGCCTTTTAGAAAGGTGTAAGCTCTTTTCTTGAAGGTTCCTAAGTCGTATCGGTCCGGAAAATTCGCTGGTGGTAATTGATTCAAAAAGGAAGTTGTGCGAGGGAAAAAACTTCTTCTGAATCGCACAGTGGTGGACCGCCAATCATCCAGATGGTATGGATGGTAACGCGAGTTTTATCGCGATGTGCGTTGGTGAAATTGAGCGGCTGGAATTAGTCCGAACAATTCCTCAGAGCACTCCCCGTGATAGATGCGATAAAATACACAAAAAGATGCAACATCTCTACACAGTGCCAGTGTATCGAGCCGATCAGAAAGAACTCCGTTGTCGACGATTTGAACCGCTCTGCGCTGGATGCGGTCAAGTGGAAGTAGCTGGCACTGGAGTGCCCCGGCCCAGAGATGAGAACAGGATTCCATGAAATGATGACCACGAAACTACACACTATTCGATATGTCGATGCCAAGGATTCCGATACTAGCTGAGGCAGCAAGGGGAGTGCCTTGAAACTGAGGAGATACGACAAAGGGGTTCTTTTTAGCGGTAAACGCGCAAACTTGTGTCTTCTGGGGATTGAATTGGACTAGATTTAGTCGGCCCCAATCCGAGACTTTGTTAAGCAAAGACTCGACTTCAGACACAAATTTGTCCCGGTACTCAGCGACGTTTTCCCGAGAAATATTGGCACGGCCGGTATATAAGGCATCACCAGTGCTGTCGTCTGCATAGCAATGAATGCTACCAGTTAGCAACATATCATTGATATGCAGGAGAAACAGCGTTGGTGATAGCACGCAGCCTTGTGGAACACCAGCGTTGATAGGCTTGAAATCAGAGCATGCACCGTCTACTACGACCTTGATGCTCCGATCAGCAAGGAAACTGGTGATCCATTTGCACAGTTTCTCGGGAAGCCCATAGGAAGGAAGCTTCGAAAGAAGCGCTTTGTGCCAGACCCGATCGAAGGCCTTCGCTATGTCCAAACTAACGGCCAATGCCTCCCACTTGGACTCTACTACCTCCGCCCATCTATGAGTCAGATAGACTAGAAGATCACCAGCTGATCGACCTCGACGAAAACCGTACTGGCGGTCACTAATCAGCTAGTGATCCTCAAGGTACCTCATGAGCTGGCAGTTTATAATGGATTCCATTGTTTTGGAGAACAAGGAGGTGATAGCAATAGGCCTGTAGTTGGACGGGTCTGAGCGGTCGCCTTTTTTAGGTATCGGGTGGACCAAAGCTGTCTTCCATGAATTCGGGACTCCGCCTTGGGAGTAGGAATACCGGAAAAGACGCGTTAAAACCGGTCCCAACTCCGGGGCACACGTCCTCAGCACAATGGCAGGGACTCCATCGGGCCCACTCGACTTACTGACGTCCAGGGAGAAGAGTGCTTTGCGAACCGAGCGCTGTGTAAACCGCACATCCGGCATGGAGCACTCACATCGCGGGATGGTCGGCGGTGTGTTCCCCCCGTCATCTAGAGTCGAGTTGGATGCAAAAAGAGAGCTCAACAGATCGGCTTTCTCCTTTGCGGCATGGGCCAGTGAGTCGTCCTCTCTGTGCAGAGATGGAAGAGATGGCTGACAGAAGTTCCCTTGGACAGCCTTGGCGAGAGACCAGAATGCACGGCTTCCCGAAGGAAGGCGAACTAGCTTCTCGCCAATTCTGCCGATGTGCTCAGACCTTGCCTTGGCAATGACGCTTTTGAAGGACCTGGAGGCGAAATTATACTTATTTTTAAGTGCGCTGGTGTTTACATCCCGAGACGTTGATGCGTCAGCCCAGGCCCGCTATCACTCCTGCTTATAGCGTGATGCTATTTTACAGGAGCGACCAAACCATGGATGGGATCTGCCTCCGATGGGCACCACAGAGGATGGAATAAAAAGTTCCATACCCTGAAATACCACATCAGCAAAAGAATCGGCAACAACGCTGGGATCTTCCAGCGAGAATCAAACCCACCCCGAAGGGTAGGATGCAAAAAAAGACTGCATCCCATCCCAATCAGCTGACCTATAGTGCCAAACACGGCGGCAAGCTGCAGATCGCAACTGCGATTGGAGCGTGAGTGGCACCGTACTCCAGATCAGACAATGGTCGGAAGAGCCCAGAGGGGCATTTACGGAGTCCTGATATCCGTCCGGATGTGAGGTCAGTAGAAGGTCTAACAGGGAAGGTACATGGTCTTCCACATCTGGGATCCGCGTAGGCGAAGTAACCAGTTGTGTTAGACCATATGCCAAAGCAAAGTCATAGACAGATCTACCCGCATGATCGGTTAAACGAGAACCAAGCCATTCAGCGTTAAAATCACCGAGTATCACGATCTCTGCGGATGGGACCTGTTGTAGCACGGAGTCTGCAGCCATTTGAACATGGTCGATAAGTCGGTCTGTGTCGGCATTACCGCTATGGAACCTATAGAGGCACCCGTAGACGCGGGGATGGTCGTCGCTATCTACACGCAGCCATAGGATGGACAGGTCCGTACCTTCACCCCCCCAGAATACGCGGGGCAGCCTCAGCACCCACGCTCAGGAGTGAAGTAGTTTGGTCGTGGATGCTCAGCGAGCGATTCTCCAGGGGTGCTGGTACCCTCCTGGGGTAGTCTTTTATTTAATTCCACTACCGTGTTGATGGGGGTGGGGGATTGGGCCTCCGGCCACCTGCACTCACCCAGCGCAACGCAGGAGGTAAACCTCTACTTCACGCTGATATTCTGTGAGGTCGTGGTACCACCCCGGTTCGAGCTGGCCCATCCGTGCGACAACAAAAGCTACCGCTTAGCTCTACCACTGTTAAAATTACTCATTTCTAAGTTTATCACG